GTCTCTGTGTGTTTGTTTATTGTTGTTATTATCTACTACTTAATGAAGGAAATCATACGGTATTTGACCTTCTCCCTCTGACTTATTTCACTTTGCAAAAGACTAGACACAGCTCTTGTTTCTCTAAGAGAAATACTCTTTAAAAATATCTGTGAAATGGGTGAGTCAAGATCTAAACATACCACATAGTTTAGTAAGTACATAGACTCATATGTGACTAGAAAAATAATATAACTTTTTGTCATGTGATTTTTTTGTTTTGTTTGTACTTCAAATGTTATTAGTACCTCTCTTCATCCTGTCTTTGCTTAAATTTTCAGTTTTCTGTTCCATCTTTCAGTCCTTGTTAACAGATCCCATACATTTAGAATGTAGAAGTTGAAGCGAAGGCACAGAGCCAAGGAAGATTGGGGTAGAGGAAGGAACGAGGACAGAGAACTCTTAATTCTCCAACACACAGTCCGTAGAGGGCAGAGCTAGGTATTTTCAGATCTAGTCTTTAGACCAGACAGTTTTCAGCACATACCCCAGTAGGACTTCTTATAGCATCCTGGTGCATCAGTGTGACATTCAGAGGTAGACACTAGCCCAGAATCAAACTGGAAATCCAAAACCAACCTGATAGCTCTTCTTCAAGCCTTGGAATTTATTATAATTTGCTTTAATCATAGCGTGTGCACGATTTTATCAGTGGAATCATGTTTGGAAATATTATCCACCCCCACTTTAAGTTGCTAAACAGCTGGCTAACCAAACAGGAAACACAACTTTTGGGGAATGCTGGATGTGAAGGATTCATTTGTAACCAAAATGCTACAGGAAGCTTCCTCCAGTTTTTGTGTAAGCTGTTTAGACAGTTTGTGTAATTCATTTCTCTCAGTAATTAGTAAATGGTCCTAAGAAAATGAAGGGATGACAAAAGTCATGTGAACTATTTATATCTATTTCTTTGGAGCCTGCATGTGGCTCTCCTTGGGTGATGCCAACTCAATTACACCCATATACACACCCTTTTTCGATGATGCAGGTTCTAAGAATTGTTGTGAAATCAAAAGTTCTTAAAATCTGGATTTGCCATGGAAAATTTTAAAAGTTGTTTAATCTGATATAAATTTTGGGTTTATGTGGAATAAATTATTTCAATAATATTTAATATAATAATCAGTATTGATAATGCTGTCCTTAAAAGAGAAAGCACAATTGTCCATTCCAAATAAGATGTTAATTTTGTGAAGGGGAGTGTATTTCCAAGCCAGTTCTCACAACATTAATCATGTAAGTTAATCTTGTAAAAACTTAACCTTTGTTAACACCATGGAATTCATAATTCTTATATCAAGAACCATTCATTTGTTGATATATCAGAATTTAAACTGACTTGCCTCATCTTAATTAAAAGCATCTTAATTTTGGCTTTTCTTCTTTTAAAAACTCTTAAAGTTGAAAGTGATTCTCTCTTTTTTGCACTTATTCTCAAATATCTATTAAATTTTACCAAAAATCTTAGTTTTTAGAGGATAGTGTTAATTCAAATGCATATTTACCTGTCTGCTATTCTGTAAGAAACAAATAATGAACCATTTTGATAAGTTCATTTTTAAAAGTATATGTACCAGCTTGCTGACAATTTTGTGGAAAGAAATCTGTCTAAAATGTGGGAGGAAAACAGAAATGGAAGAGCCGACAATACTGTTACTTTACTCTCTTAGGCCCCTGATACTCCCTCTCCTTAGATAACAACGTTATTCAACATCATCCAGCAAGTATTCGTGGAGTCCAGACACTGTGCCAAGGATTCAGGGTTATCAGGGAGCCACACAGCGCCCTGCCGTCTGCAGGTGCATACAGTGGAAAAATGGACAGGCAAGAAGTGGACAAATGCAAAAGACAATTTCAGATAGTTATAATCCTTGTAAAGAAAAAAGCCCACACAATCAGAACCCCTTTGGTTAATGGGATTGAGAGGGCCAGCCCAGCGTAGGGTACTTTAGTTCTCGTCATCAGGAAGGCCTCGCTGAGGAGATGGCATTTGAGCAGAGACCTGAGTGAGAAGGAACCAGGCGTGGGAGCCAGAAAACTATTAAACCTTGGACAGTGTGGCAAAATTTGGGCCTGTCTTAGCTAGAAAGAATATTCTGATATTGAGTTATTTACTGTTCACAGTAAATGTGCCCTGCGTTGTTTTGTTTTTCAGATTCAGTTCCATGTGACCATTGGGCACACAGCGCTGTCTCTGTACACTGATTGCCCCTTCCCCAAATGGATGCACTGGGCTCTCATCGCCTACGCAATCAGCTTCATATTCCTCTTTCTTAACTTCTATGTCCGGACATACAATGAGCCTAAGAAATCCCAAACTGGAAAAACGGCTGTGAATGGTATTTCAGCAAATGGTGTGAACAAATCAGAAAAACAGCTAGTGATAGAAAATGGAAAAAAGCAGAAAAACGGAAAAGCGAAAGGAGAGTAAATTGAACTGGGCCTTAACTGTTGTTGACAGTGAGGAAGCTCCCGTTTCATATATAATTTCAGGGAAACAAGCAAATGAGGGTTGGAGGATGGGGAGAAAAAGGCAAATGTGCTCTATGTATTAGTAACCTTTAGACTGAGTAAAGTGTTAAATATGATACCCAGATGTTTTATTTATGAAGTTTTTATTTTAAACGTTTTTTTTATTAGCCTTGCTGTTGTCCAGACCAAAGCAATCATTATGTGACTTTGGAGACGCTCCGCCCTTCACATCCGTTTGTCTAATGCATGAGACTTTTCATGTATCTTATATACAGGCATTCTTCAGTCTGATGATCAAAGAAACACAGTCTTTATGCATTTTTTGGCTAAATCACTAATTACCTACGGATTAAAATCGGTCACCTTACATTTTCTAGTCCAAAGCTGGAAATGCAGATACTGTAAAATTTGCACATTTGAATTCGTTTGCTGACTGGAATGGTCGAATCTCTCCACCTCTAGTCTGAATATACCCCTTTAGATGTAATTAAATTTTAAAAATCTGATGAACTCTGTAGACTCTTAGAGGCTCGATGATGATGGTGTTGGTAAAAATAAGAAGGAATTACAGTAAAATCCTGTCTGGTGACCCAGAGGTCACCATGACTTGTGGCACAAATCACTGTGGGGAACAATTTTTGTGATGAAAAGGCAGCCTTTCAATACTCCTGTTACTATCAGAAATATATTATGAAAATTAAGATTATTGTCTGATTGAAACATGAAACAATTTGTGTCTTTATAAGTAACATAAAATAGTGACATTTCTGTGCTGTTAGAAGAGAGTATGTTGATTTTTATTCGGCTTTCCTTGTTTTGATTTGTGGCTGTAACAGATTTTTCATATGTGGAAATATACCTACCTCTTCTGTTGGAAAGAACATTTAAAATTAAATAAATTTTAATTAAAAATCAAGGAGTCTTCTAGTGTAAATTTCAATATTAACTTTAGAATCCACTAGTCTTTTTTTTTGCTTTTTTACAAATAGCTTACACCAAACTTTTCTGTGAAATGATCCTTATCTTTGATTGTGTTTAATTTTGGAGTGATATTTTCCTTGTGAAAAAGTTGCAAGATCATATTTATTAGCTAGATATGAAGAGTAAACCCATTTTGGTGCAATATTCTTGACTCCTTGGTGCTAAAGATCATTAAATTCAGTGCTTGATTGTTGCAAGGTATTAATTATTAAGACACAAAATGAATAAAAGAGAAAGCAGACAAAACTATAAAATTCAATTTGCTATTTACAAATGAAGTATTTCATGTACTATAAATGAACAACCGGAGATTCGCTGGGAAAGAAGCATGTACAGTGTCATATTACACAGGTTCGTTTGTTAGGGTGTGTTGCACAGGCATCATAGAAAGAGAAAATGTGACCAAAAAAGCATGAATATTTCTAGGTATCTCAACATGTCCAAACTGCATGAGCAGAATGTGTGCTGTTTGTGCAGACAAACTATTTCAGAGTATTTTGTAAACTATAAAATATTTGTTGTGCATTAAAATTACATACTTTTTCCCCAAAGGCATGCAGTCATAAGAATTATAGAAAATTTGCAACACATATAATAGTTTGATCTAAGAGGATTCAACACTTTGTTTTGCTACTCAGTGTGTAATGACTAGAGATTTGTAAATCTTTGTGAACGTTCTGTACTGGGTCCCCAGAGCTATTCATTCTCTGCTACCTGATTTCAGCACAATAAATATACTACTGCTGTGGGCAAAATGATTTTTTTTGTTAATCAGTTTATTATAATGTAAATTATCTGCTAGGTGTTTGTTTATTTATTCAATTGTTAATCTGAATTCCTGCTGCCAATTTCTAATGTAGAAAAGATATGAAATTAGAATGTGGGTCGTTTACACTTTCTGGTAAAAAGCTTATTTTTTTGTGGTAGCGTATTTTAGTTTAAAAATTAGTTGGCTTCGGAAGAGCTTTTGGATCCAGACGTAAAACATACCATTTTCTTCTAAATTATTCTTAGGTTTGTTGTTTCAAATGTAGGCTTTAACACTTTTAATGCTGTGCTTTTTTTTTGTTCCAAAAATAAAGTTGGGAGCTCTTGTGTTCTTATATTTAAATCATTCAGTCCTAACTATACTTTAAGGTTCTTTATCAAAGATGGTTTTAAGGTATGATAAATATAGCCTTTTCTAGTAGCTTTCATAATTTCTCTATCAGCATCACACTAAGTTGCATGCCTCATACCTAAAAATCGATGAAGGAGGATTGCATCCTCTTTTGGTAAAACTTTGTCACTAAAGAAACATTTTCTTATGTAGAAAACAGGAAATTTGTTAAATATTTGCAATAACAGGAAATACCTGAGGCATGTAACAGTGTGCTTTCCAAAAGAATTGATGATTGTGGCTCTTCTCTTTTCCCTTTTCTGTGTCCTTCTTGACTCTGCTGATGGACACTGTTGACTAGTTTTAGTTTTATTAATTTAGTCATTCTCTTTTTCTCTTTTTACTCTCGAAGCATTCACAAATATTTTCATATGGATTATTATTTTCACATTTTAGAACATGGACTCTAGCAGTGTTTTATATTTATTAGGAATATTTTAATTTACAGGTTTGTTCCATTTATGTAACTCAGTTACTCTATAAATAAGAAAGAAAACCTAGAGGTGGAAATGATTTCTCCTGTCTTATCTGCTTGACAATACAATTCAGGCATTACATATTGACTATTGGGGCAAAACTTGTTGTTGTTGTTGTTGTTGTTGTTGTGGAAGATTCTCCCTGAGCTAACAACTATTGCCAATCTTCCTCTTTTTTTTTTTTTTCACTTGAGGAAGATTAGCCCTGAGCTAGCATCTATGCTATTCTTCCTCCATTTTGCATGTGGGACACTGCCACAGCATGGCTGATGAGTGGTGTAGGTCCATACCCAGGATCCAAACCCATGAACCCAGGCTCCCGAAGTGGAGCGTGCCGAACTTAACCACTACGTCATGGGGCCGGCCCCTGGGGCAGCACTTGTGAATCTCACCTTCATTAGAATGTAGCATCACACTGAGCTCTTCACGCTGTCTCAGCTCTTTCCTTGTTACAGCCTTACTCTCAGCTAGCTGTGTTCTTAACACAGTTCTTATTGAGAAAAAGATGACTACAGAGGTGTGGGATGCAAAGTGGCATGCTCAGCACAGACTTGGGTGACTGACTTGGATCCTGCTGGATGATAAATAGGGCTGCAGTGTTGAGAGGCACTGTGGCGCTGAGCTACATATGTAGGAGCACGGCTTCTGAGCAGTAACCATAAAACCTGCTTAATGAGATTGGTCACGTGTCACTCAGCATGCGAGCAGTTTTGACAAATAACCTTGGAAAGCGAGTCCTTAATAATGCACTTTAGAATCCATGCTTAATCTTAGGTATTTTAGGCAGATGACATCTGAACCAGAAGAATAGTTGTGAAAAGGAAAAGAAGTAGAGACAAATTCTTTGTTTCAAAACATTACAAATCATACAGGTATTACAAGTTGGTTTTCCTAATATAAATTATGGAGGCAAGGCACAGATGTGAGTTGAAAGGCAAAACTTTTTTTTTTTTTTGTAAGTTTTTAAAATAGGAGGATGTAAAGTAACTCTATGTTCCTGAAGGAGATTCAGAGATCTAAATTAAAAATTACGGTTGACATGTAGAACCACTACCAGATGAAGACAGATTCTAGAATATATCACTAACAGAGCATTGTGACTTATGGAGAAGGTGCTTAATAGCTGTCTTTAGATGATTAACAAAAATTTTAGGTGGGCAAGGGAAGATCTGAGTTACCCCTTGGTGTTCTTTAAGACTTATAGATCCAGTTTTTTACTATATCCCTTGAGAAACTAAACTTTTTTCTACCTGTTAAAAATGCCCAGAACTGAGGTCTCCTTTTTTCTTTGCCTTGTTCATTTTACCACATAAAGGCATGTTTACATGTCCACATGTGAAGAAATTTTCCTTCATGTCTTTATTCCTTGGAGATCCATCTGATCTTAAATAGAAATCTAACTAGAATTTTTTTTTTTATTTCTCCCGTTTTCATAGGTGAGGTTTTCCCAGGGAATGTGTTCTTCGAGTAGTACCTCCTTTGAGAATAAATGCATGCTGAAACATCACTTGATTTCTACCTAATATTAAAAAAAAAAATTCAGGTGACTAAAGTTGAAGATCTGATTGGCTTTATTCAATGATTCATGAATTGGGCAGCATCCTTTGTAGCAAATAGAAAGGAACTCCTAGGAGCTGTACCAAATGGAAGGCTTTTATAGGCAGGAGAGGGAAAAGAGTGCATTGTTTCAGGCAAAGTCGTCTTCCTTTAGGGGATGAAAGTGTTTGATCAGGCGATTATCTTGCTACTGCTGACCAGGAAATTCCAGCCTGAGTGGTTAAGATTACATTCCTGGGGAGCTTGAAACTCCAAATGTTAGGTATTAAGTCTCAGTTTGGCAATGTGGGCTTAGCACAAGTGACTCCATTTTGGGCCTGTTGTCTCTTTTTTTAACAATTCCCCCTTTTTGATCAGTCTCTCAGCTTAGCTGAGAGATGTTATCAAAATTTAAGGCATTAGTGCCATTCTTAGCTATTGCTCTGAAGATCTCAGTTTTTGTTGATCCTTTGTGTGGTATTCACAGGTCATGATGTCTTTTGCTTAATTTCTGTGATATTCATAGGCCATGATTTTAGGTTCACAATTTTTATGTCAGTCATTCTCTTCATTTCTTTTCTGACATTCCAGTCTTAGGGGGATCATTTGTTTGGTGGCTAGCAGCTGTGAATATGCACTTAAAGCTTTTAAGAGAATACAGTGCACCAGGGAGACCACTATGACTATTATAAGTAGGATCATTCCCAGTGTCTGGAGTGCTCTTTGGAGCCACGATCCCCAAGACCCAAACCAGTCAAAATCAGATAAGTCCAAGAAAGACCCCATTAAAGGAAACACCTTTTTAAGCCAAGTGGTTTGCTCAGTGATCTTATGTAACTGAGTCTCAACTTCCCCAGAAGTGTTAGTCCAGGTGCAGCAGGTGGTGTTGGCCTCCTTGCTCAGCTAAAAGATAATTAAGGGCTATCCTATTGGCAAGAACAGCTTTGGCCAGCGAGTCTAAGAATTTTTGGGGGGCAGCTATTGCTTTAACAGCGGATTCTGCAATATTTTCAAGAATTAAGGAGAGGTGCCTGATCATAGCCTCGTTTACATATATCCCTAACCAGGAAAGTAGGGCCCTGCCAAAGGAAGCAAATCCTGAATCATGAATACCTCCTGTTAATTCCCATGTGAATCTGTGACTCAGGACTGGAAGGGTGACAGCCATGGAGGCCAATAAAATTTTAAAGTGTGTAGACCACACAGGCAGTTTTGTTCTGGTTACCCTTGCCTTGTGTCCCTTTCTCTGCATACAGCCTGGATGCAAGTTACAGTCCCCAAGTTTGGGGTTGTTGATCAGAGGCAGGGAAACGGACCAGGGGGTGTCTAGATTCATGGACAGATAAGTTTTATGATGGCAAGTTCAGCAGTCTGAAAGGTTACCCCCCTTAGCGATGGTCTGAGAGAGAGATGATGGCACTATTTTCTACACCAATGCCAGAGTAAAGGAAAGAAAGAGAAGAGAAGTTTTCATGTTTAGTTCAAGTATGAAGTCTTTTATTTTTTTTCCTTGTTTATTATTACTTTTATTTGTTTTAATTTTTTTATTGCAGTAACATTGGTTGTATAAATTTCAGGTGTACATCATTATACCTCTGTTTCTGCATAGATTACATCATGTTCTCCACTCACATACCAATTACAATCAATCATCACACACATGTGCCTAATCATTCCTTTCACCCTCCCCCTCCCCCCTTCCCCTCTGGTAACCACCAATCCAATCTCTGTCTCTATGTCTGTTTGTTGTTGTTTTTATCTTCTACTTATGAGTGAGATCAAATGGTATTTGACCTTCTCCATCTGACTTATTTTGCTTAGCATAATACCCTCAATGTCCATCCATGTGGGGTCACAAATGGCTTCATCGTTTCTTATGGCTGAGTAGTATTCCATTGTGTATATATACCACATCTTCTTCATCCATTCGTCCCTGGGCGCTATTGTGAATAATGCTGCAGTGAACACAGGGGTGCATGTATCTTTACCCATTTGTATTTCCCTGTTCTTTGGATAAACACCCAGCGGTGGAATAGCTGGATCGGAGGATAGTTCTATTCTTAATTTTTTGAGAAATCTGCGTACTGTTTTCCATAGTGGCTGCACCAGTTTGCACTCCCACCAGCAGTGTGTGCAAGTTCCCTTCTCTCCACATCCTCTCCAACACTTGTGGTTTCCTATGTTGTTAATTATAGCCATTCTGACGAGCGTGAGGTGATATCTCATTGTACTTTTGATTTGCATTTCCGTGATAATTAATGATGTTGAACATCTTTCCATGTGCCTGTTGGCCATCTGTATATCTTCTTTGGAGAAATGTCTATTCAGGTCTTTGGCCCATTTTTTAATTGGGTTGTTAGTTTTTTTGTTGTTGAGATGTATGAGTTCTTAATATATTTTGGAGATTAAGCCCTTATCAGAAGTATGGTTTGCAAATATCTTCTCCCAATTGTTAGGTTGTCTTTTTGTTTTGTTGATGGTTTTCTTTGCTGTGCAGAAGCTTTTTAGTTTTATGTAATCCCATTTGTTTATTTTTTCTGTTGTTTGTCTTGCCTGGTCAGACATGGTACTTGAGAATA